TGGCGATCAGAAGGAGCAATAGAAGCTTACGAACAAATTTGCAATCAGTTCATTTAAAAGGAAATGCTAGGCAGGTGCAAGGCGCGTGTCTTTTTTTACATCAGCTGACATCAAACGAGAGGCTTTAATTTGGTATTTCGCGAGAATGCACACCTATAAAAACAAGCGGATTCTAATTTCGGTTCATTCAAACTAATTGAAGAAGATGAATTGAATAAACTTGAAATCTCAACGAAGAGATTTAATATTAAGGGTAGTGACACCTATATATATCTAACTGCATTCATAACAGATATTACCTTACTGGGTGCACGTTACGTGTTTCTTCTTATCTTAGAATGTGACAAGAAATGCCTCGATATTCTCTGTGAAACTCAAAGAAATCCGCCACCCAATACTAGAGTGGAAATACACACCGGTTATTGTAATGTAAGATATGTTTGCCGAAAAGGAACTGACATAAGAACTAGCAGGAAAGGGCAGTGGATTGGAAGCAAAGCGCTCAAGTGTCCAGGTAAAGTTTCGCGGGTTGACTCGCTTTGGTTTGGATAAATTACAACCATTTGATCGAACAAAATGAATTATTACAAATCAAAATCCGTAAGCCACGTCGCCATTCGATGTTCATAAGTTGAATCATAAACTGGATTTTGTTTTACCGATACAAAAATATCCATTCCTAAGTTAGATCAAACGCATTCCACCATAATCCATGATTATTACTAGTTTATGATTGAAAACGTAAGAAACTGTTCTCTCTCATTCTTTTTGTCAGCATATTGCGGTAAACCCGCGAACATTCCACACGCCACATTCTCTGGTTCCTATTTCAGCTTCAACAGTATATTAAAGTACAGATGTGATCAAGGCTTTGTGCTCAAAGGACCAAAAGGAAGGAAATGCAGAAAAAACGGACAGTGGTCTCAGGCTCCTACATGTTCACCAAGTAAATTGAATATGATAATCTTTACACACCTGTAAAGACAACAACAATTGTCAATTAAGTGTCGAAAGTAATCAGGGATTATTTTGATTTGCGTTATATTTTCAGGTATAATGATAAGTCAGTCTTTCAGTCAGTCAGTATGTGAATCACTCAGCCTTTCTTCTTACATCTCTCTTAAGTTAGTCAGTCAGTCTGTGAGTCAGTCTGTTAACATTTGAGTTAGTGAGTCATTCGGTGAGTTGGTCTGTCAGTTATGCATATATGAGTCAGTCTGTCTGTCAGTCAGCTTGTGAGTCAGTGAGTCGGTCAGTCAGTCTTAGGAGTCTTTTTTTTTCATATTTCTTTCAGATACTCATTTTTCCGTTCGTTCAGCCACTAGAATAGTGGAGTGTTTATTGGCAGGTGGATCGACTGACCTATTCCACAAAGTATCACCTTAAAATACAGAAAAGACACGAAAATAACAGAACAAATGAAAGCGCATTACAATAAACCGGTCTTCTTTGTATGTTTTTGTTCACAGATTATACAACCTGTGGTGTAAGTCCTGTTGATCTGAGGGCGAAAATGGTCGGTGGCGAGAATTCGAGAAGAGGCTGGTGGCCCTGGCAGATTGGACTTCGTAAGATTAACTCAAAAGGTAATTTGAAAGGAAAATTTGCGTTGTCTGGCTCATTCATTGAATGCTGTATATACAAGGAAAGCATTAGTAACATTTCCTTTCCATCATGCGGCAAATCGTTCTAAGTAGCCTTTGACTGTCTGTGGCCTTTCCGTACATCTAGGTAGTTTGGAAAGCCGCAGAACTAAAGAACAAAAATTTATCTTTCAAATCTCACTCTTAATCTTATATGATATCAACTAACGATTCTCATTCTATTGATTTATTTGTTTGTTCATTTGTCTGCCTGTTTTTGTACGTTATTATGTTCTCAGAAATACAGAGTGGCTCCATTTTTCTGTATGTGATCCCTACACAACCCTCCATTCCTTTGTTCGTTCAGACGAGGGGCCAAGCTCGAAAAGTTACTTAAAATGCACTTGTCAAAAGCTGGTTTTTTTCGGGCATAATTTTCTACGAGAAGTTATTTTTTAAAAAGAAGTATCGGTTGAGATTAATAATTATTGTTTTTTATCTGTTTCCTTTTTTCTTTTTAAGCGGAACTTGTGCTTATCTGTGGTGGTGCTCTGATTTCTCGTCGCTGGGTTCTGACTGCTGCACATTGTTTTTACCACAGAGGTCTTCATGGGGCTCGTGTTCTCGACGATTTGTCCAATAAGTAAGCACTGAGTCCAATAATTCTTTTTACCTTTGAAGTTTAAAGAACCTTTTTACATCTATAGATATCTTTTTTCAGTGTTATATTTGAAAGTTCACATTTCAAGGTGGAGAAAATTCTGCACAATAAAAAGGTTTCGAATTTCTGATATCATTCACAAGGGGGACTCTTCAAAAACTCCCAAAACCAGTCTTTCCCTAGTGGGTGAAGCAAACTTGGCTTATTTCCTCTACAACTGCTGCTCTTCATCTCGCAGGTACCAAGTGACAGTGGGTGACCACAACTTGCGGAAGGATGAAAAATCTCAAAGTGAAATGGCGGTGAAGAAGATTTTTGTTCATCAAGATTATGTTGATAACAAAATCACAAATGACATTGCTCTGGTCAAACTCAACGAGGAAGTGAAACTTGGCCCCTTGGGGATGAAGGTGATTTGGCAATCCCTAAAAAGTACGGTATAGCAACAGGATGGGGTGTAACGCAAGCCTTGAAATTCGGAGAACAACCCGATGACAAGAAACGCTACTCGGACCGTCTTCAATTCTCAGCCTTCACAATTCAAAGCGATCAACTGTGCGCTAACAAATCAGCG